GATCTGAATTGAAGGCATGTCTTCCTGCTTCAAAGATCTGCATTAGAAGTGGATTTTCCTACTTCAAATTAAGTGAAAATCCCTCACAGATGTGCCCTCCATTTTTGGTATTTTGTTCCTGGTGTGGTCAAGTTGACAACCAAGAATAGACATCATAACATAATACATACATACACACATGTATGATGTGTGACATATGTGACAATAATCAAGGAAAAAGAGGTCATCAATTTGAAAGAGAGCAAGGGGGGATACATGGAAGGTTTTAGAGGGAGGAAAGGGAACGGGGAAATTATAAAATTATAATTTCAAAAATTATTTAAAAATACTTATATTATTTCAGTGTGTGTGTGTGTGTGTGTGTGTGTGTGTGTGTGTGTGTGTGTGCCGATTTACTGATTTACATGTAAAGGTGTGGGTAAACGCCAGTGTCTCCATGCATGCAGAGATTGAGGGTCAGCTTTTGGGTACCAGCCCTTGCCTTTCTACCTTCCTTCTTCCCACAGAGGTACTCTGAGGTCACAGTCATTCATGCTCCAGTGTCTGGCCCTTACATGGGCTCTTAGAATTGGGTTGTTGGCATTGTTTGGCAAGGACTTTTACCCACCTAGCTATCACCAGCCTTTTGAAAGATAAATTTTAGGGGAAAAAGGCACTGTGTTCTGCTTTCTGAAAAGTGCATGATACTTGGCTGAATTTTCAAATAATCCAAGCTTTAGAGTGTTACAGGAAGGTTCAGACAAAAAAAAAATCAGAGTGCACCCCAAGACATTCCATTAATTTAGGAAACATGAAAAGAGTCCAAATGATTTAGCAAAACATTTGAGTATGAACAGTTCATGGGCATTATGGATGTTCTCTTGTTGACTGCTTAGAGCAGATACTGCCTGAGTTGTATACAATGTGGATGGATACTCATTGAGTTCTAATCTAATCATTATGTGTTCCAGGCACCAGCCTAATGAAAGGTTAATCAAATAGAAGGTTTGGGCATCTTTGTTAAAATAAAAACACAGGTGACTGTAGAGTACGGGCTTATATCTGTGTCCTCATTTCTATTCCATGGACTAGTGTGTCTGCGTTTGGGCTAATGCTTGATGCTTGCTAACACAGCTTGGTATAAGTTAAATCAGCAGATGTTAATTTTATAGATCAGGATTGGTTTTTCTATCCTAGATGTTTTGTGCTTCTATGTGAATATTAAGATCACTTTAAAAATGTTCTATGAAGAATTGCAATGGAATTATATATAATAAGGATTGTTTTGAATTTGTAGATGGATTCTGGGAGGGTGGCCATTTTCACAATGTCATTCCCACCAACTATGAACATGGGAGGTCTTTCCATTCTTGTCCTGTGTAGGAAACTTGAGCACCTATGGAAGTTGGTATCTATTAGGATGTATAAGCAGTCTTCAGGTTCCAAAGGACCTGCATTCTATAGACCAGAGTGAATCTCAAGTCACACTTGGTGATGCCTTAGTACAATGTGATCATCCTCAAGTGAAAGCAAAGCTGAAGTTGAATCCAGCTCTCTAGTTCTCTTAAAGTATTTTTTTACTATTCATTCAACCTTTTTATAATAGTATTTATGGTTTTCTTATCTTAGACTAAATTCTGAAATATTTTTAAAAGTCTGCAAAAATCCTTTGTTCTTAACAAGATATAATTGCTCTTTTAAACTATTTTAATTTTGATATAAAAATAAAAACATATATTTAGTATTTTCAGTCAAAAGTAGAATTAATTTTTCTCTGGTGTATTTAGTAATAAAGTTTACTTAATAAATAAAGATTTTTCAGATTTAAAAAATAGTATTAGAAACTTGTTGCATGAATTTTAAGGATAGGATTATCTCTTGGAAAATTCATCCTGGGATTGTATACTAATTATAGACATTTTAGGAGATTTTAATCAGAATGTTGCAGAAGAAATAGTCTTTATATTTGAAGGGGTAGAGGTCTTTTAAATTACTTATTTTAACTGTGGAAGGTCCAAGTTTGAATCCAGGCATATTGTTGAAGTGCACCATTAGCCTAATCCTTCATTTTCTTGTCAATTAAAGACATCTTTATTCTCTCATTCACTTATCAGTAATAAGCTGGCTGTTTGAAAGTCGGTTGTTAAAAAATCCCTTTGTTTATGGCAATAAGGCAGCATTCATTTTGTGAACTTTATAAAACACCCTCTGCCAGTTTGGGTCTTTGAGAATAGCTCTAAAGATGTGTTCCCACAGTAATTACTGATTCCAGAGATGTTCATTAAAGAATGAAGTCAGAGGCAAGCATTGGAAACAATTGTATCCCACCAAAGCCAGCTTTTTTTTGCACACCTTCCCTGCATCCAGAGTTCTGTGAATAAAATGAGGGGAAAAAACTATTGGAAAATACTGCACAGTATTTGTACTTTTGAGTGGTATTACTTACCATAGTGTTAATGACACAGGTTTTTTTTTTTTTTACATGTTTTGATTTAAATCAAAGATTCTGTAAAGGCTTAGTAGAAAGCCAGGATACTTTTAATTCGGGCTCAACTGTCCATCATACAGTCGCTGGGAATGGTCACTGTTCCACCATTCCTATATTCTATTCTATTGCCCATGTCACTGGCCAGGGTGGCTAAGGTAGGAAACTCCTAAAGATAAAGATCTTAGTAAAGAAAAAAATGACAGCAAATATAATTATTCTGCAAATGGTTTGGGGGTTGTCTATTTGTTTTAGAATAGATCTGTAACTGTGGGATGCAGGGAGAAGAATTTGAATGTTATGGTAGCTTGCTGTAAGAACCCAAGTTGCTGGAATGTGTTTAGGTATTGCATGGTTATCCTGCAATTATGGTTTGGCCTCCCACTGAGACTTAATAGGCAAATATGGTGATGGACTCAGGGAGAGATTTTGTGAATCAGTCTACAGTGAGTCTTATTTATTTCTATGGCATGAGAAAATACAATGGACAAAGGAAGGAGATGTAAGAGTACGGTTTTGGATACATACCCAACATTTCTAGGTGCTAACCAGGCTACAGCCCACCATTGGTAATGAGCACCTTCCTTGTTTGGATGAAACCAACATGGCTGAGTCAGCTTGAAAGCAGTTTTCTGTTTCAGGCTGCCAGACTTGAGTTCTTTCATCTGCATTATTATCCCCCTTTTGTTTAGTTCACATTAAGTCATCTAGATTTCAAATATAAATGTAGCTTAGTGCCATCATAATTACAGTCGGGTAGACTGGCCTTTGAAGAATGATTTTGCTCTAAAGTGTAAAGGTCCAGCCTGACTCAGAGTTTAACATTGAAAATTTTAAGGAAAAATGGCACAAGGGATAGCAGGGGTTTCGTGGTCAAGAAAGGTGGAAAACCTGGCGTTATGGTACCTACAAATTTGGGCGTTCAATATTTGAAATCCATTGAGAAATCATGGACTCATTCCAAGCCTCATTCCTTTTCCTTTGTAAAGCAGGAATGCTAACAAGACCAGTCTTGACTTTTTTTTAAGGTAAAAAATAGTTACATAGAGTATGTGAGATTCTTCATTGTTTGTTGGCTTTTGATTCTTTAGATGGGGTCCCATGTAGCCCAGATTGACTATGAACTGGCTGAGTAGCAGATGGTGACCCTGAACTCCTGGTCCTTTGGTCTCTGTCTCCACAGTGTTGTGGTTACAGGTGTATCCCAACTTCCCTGGCTTTATATGGGTCTAGGGATCAAACCTGGGCCTTCAGGAATAGCATACTAGGCTATCATTCTACCAAATGAGATAATTGAGATTCTCTACAAAACACTTTGAGGTCACTTGACACAATAAGTACTCAATCACTGTTATTTATTATGACCTGAATCCCCTTTCTTTTAGAATTATTCTAACTATAAAATAATTCACATACACATTACCAAAGTGCTGGAAAATAAAGGTAGGAAATATCCCAGTGTTTCCACTATTAATCCTATTAATTAATAATTCTATACCTTCATTAAAATAGGACCTTGTTTTGTTATGCTTTGTAACCTGTGTAGCTATTGTTGCTAATTGCCAGGACATGGATATGTTTCCATCAATAAACACAAGTGCCTGTCTGTATCACACCTCCTGTGTGGTCCATAATTTATGCAACAGTCCCTGGAATATTAACTATTCTTTGCGACAATAGATAAGAAATGTCTTTGATAAGAACACTCTTGTTCATCAGCCCTGGCCTGTTTGGCTGGTCATTAAAGCTGAATGGATATTTGCAAGCTGCTTGAATCTGAGTTTCAGCTATTCCCAGCTCTGGAACTTCACTGATGGTAGGTCTGAACCCAGCTCTGGAACCACATATGATTCCCAGTCCCATATCTAGAGCCCCACTTGATATTTAATTTTGAATTCCCACTCTGGAGTCTCATGTGATGCTGAAGTCTGAGCCCAAGCTCTGGAGCCTCATTTGATGCTTAAGGTGTGAGTCCTTGCTCCAAAGCTACTGGATGTGCCCGGATAGCTGGCCCATGAGCTTCTGGTGATTCTGATGTTTCTTCCTCCCCTCAGCAGCTCCAGCACTACAGATGCTCACTACTGCATCTGGCACTGTGCGAATCCTGGGAGTCTGCACTCAGGTTCCCACACTTACACAAACACTTTAGTAACCTAGCAATCTCCCCTGCTTATAACTTACTTTCTTAATGTATCTGAGGATTCAGGGGCTCCCTGTCTATGACTGAGGTTTCAATACCACATCGATTGGTGCAGGGTGGGGTACAAGGAGAGCAAGGTGTTCTCTCTTTTCAAAGACAAAATCTTAAGAGGACTGGTAGAGTCTGAAAGGATTCTAAATAATGTCTCCTCATGAGTGCTGTTACTATTTTCCTTCTATAATAACCACTCTTTTTTAAATTACCCTTATCAGATGGCTTCAGAGGGTGTCAATTTTATATGAGCTGTCATTCATAACTAACCAACCAGATAAATTAATAACTAAATAAATAAGATGCAGATACTCTTAATATTTTGAAAAAGCTGCCTTTACTCACAGTGACTCAGACAGGACAATAAAGTGAGTTCGCTTTTCTGGGTATCAGCCACTCATCCTCTTCTCCTGAAGGACTTAAAAAGGTTTGTTTCTGGATGGCCTGACATGAAATAGAGAATATGCTCTTTAAGTGGGCCCTTTCTGTCTCTGCTGCTACAGCAGTGTGCTGGTGGTAAGAGGACAGAGCTACGAAAGTTTTCTTTGATAACTAATCCATACCATTGCTATTACATCTTATCATGTCAGAATTTCTAATGAGTTCTAGACCCCATGGGATATATCTATTATAACCAAATATAAACAACATTGTTTTAGACATTAGCCCTCAATAATCACTTAGTGCTCACATGATTATAAATACAAATATAAGTTCTTTTAACTCTGACCATTGGGATAAAAATAATGCTAATAATATTATACATTTAGGAGATAACTGAGCACAATAAAATAATTTTGACTAAAATTTGAAATATTCTAAAGTTACATTTTTGTAGGCTCTAAGTTAGCTGTCATCATTACATGAGGTACCCCAGCAGCAACTTAGGCTCTTTGAACAGCTTCTGGAGAACAAATCCTTTCGTACTTCTCCAACCCAGATTTACCACACAGAAGCTCTTGAGCCATGATTCCTCCTAGGAGTCTATCTCAGAGCCAGCTTGGACCTAAGCAGACATTCAGCTGCATTGTTTTATTGCTGAATTATTAAGTGATGATTGAAAGGATTTGTGTGAAACTGAGGTCTGACTTGGTTCCATAATGCGAACAATGGATATAAAGCATTCCCATATGGAAACATTGGTCTTCGGGTATCACAATAATGATTTATTGAGCTCATTGTTGTTTTTGAGACAGGGTCTCTCTATGTAACTCTGCTGTCCTGGAACTCTCTAGGTAAACCAATCTGCTCTTGAACTCATAGAGATCTGCCTTCCTCTGCCTCCCCATGCTGAGATTAAAGGTGTTTATCATCATGACCAGCTTTTTATTGAGTCCTTAATATTTATTTTTTTTAAAGACAGGCTACATTTTGATACAATGATATTCTCAACCATAATATTATTTTCCCTCTATCTCTCCCTCTTTGGTCATTGGCCAAAGAAGTTAAGATCATGGCTTTAGTACCTCCTGATGCAGAGTTAGAGTGAGCTCTGGGAGAAAGCTAAGGACCAAATGCTTGCCAGAATAAAATACAGTTTTGACCAGGAGAATCCATAAACAAAATACCATTGTGGCAACTTGAATGACAGAGTTGACATGGCTACTGATTTCTAGCTCCTATGAAAGCCTCTTACTTTAAAAAGAAATATTTTTTTCTTGAGAATTTTATACAGGAGTGCAATATTTACTTATATGACTTCCACCCCACCCTTTCCCACACCAACTCCTTCCATGTTCCTCACACCCGCCATGACCAGTGTGTACATAGTGTCTTCTAGACATCACAGAATTTGTACTCATGAAATATCAATATCAATATCAATGTATATGTTCATGGTTGTGTGTGTAAAATTCTTATAAATTATATATAGAATATATATATAGATTATATAGAATATATATAGATTATATAGATTATATAGAATATATATAGATTATATATAGAATATATATATATAGAATATATATATATATATTCCCAATACATATAGAGCATACAGAGTCTTTGGTAAGGAACTAGTCTAATATAATTAAAGGACTATTAACTACACTTATGAAAGGCACAGTCTTTTTTTTTCTACAAAACTAATACTACCCTGCTAAGTCACTTTAACTGTCCTGTCCTAGATGTAGTATAGTAATACAAACATTGATTTCTGAAAGAATTGTAACAATTTGGCTAAGTGAAATGCCATTCTCGTTATAGAACACCAGTAGACATGCTAATATGGGAGAGAAAGACAATGAACTGCAGGCTACTAAGAACTGCTGAGAGATGGAGAGTTAGCCTTCCCCGGGGATGAGCCCCATGATTGCTTGTACACTAGCAGGTGGTCAGCCCTGAAATCCTGTACAATTCAGCAACACTAAATGAACTCAGTAGGTTGTATTTATACAGTGATGAGCTTATGGGTATAGGAATGTAACAATAATGATCAATGAATTTGAGACAATACATTTGAGAGGCTTTAAGGGAGAACATGGGAAAAGTTGGGAGGAGAAGGGAGTGATGTAATTATACTTTAATTAAAATTTGTAATTCAATTAAAAATATTGTTTTAGTGGAGTGCTAAGAAAGCCAAACAAAGTTGGCTCTTTGGAAGAAGTTAATAAGTGAAACAACTTAATTGCCAAAAAATAAACACGGAATTTTCTTCCAAAGCCTTCCATAGGGAGCACAGAAGACATAGTATAACTTAATAGAGGCATGCTTTAGAAATTTAAGTTTTCTTATTCATGTGTGTATGAGTTTAGTAAATATATTATTCCATACTGTGTCACTAAAGGAATTTATCAAGACTGAACAGACTAATCCGAACTGACACAATATTTTTAATATGTACTTTTTCTTTTAATTATGAACATCTCAGTAACTATATTGTGGTATCCAATACTCTCCATCTTGCTTATTTTCAATAAAACTTTCCAAATTATTTAAGGATTAGCATAACTTAGCCGTAATCTGCACCACAGGGTAGCAGTTTTCAACTTTAGCTGAACATGAAAACCACCTGGGGAGACTTAGAACCCCTATGCCAAAGACAGCACAAACCAATTAAATAGAAATATTTGCTCCTAGAATGCTGGCCATACTATCTCGTACAACTCCCTGGGCAATTCCAATGTACAGCCAAGTTTAGCAAGTAGAGCTATTTGGAAAGAAATGCTTAGCTGTTTCATTTTTTTTTTTTTTCAATTAGACATTATTACAGTAGGCTTTCCAGGAAGTAGCCTTTTCATTCAGTTTTACACTGGAAACAAAACAAAAACTGAATTAACATTTTTGTTTTGTTTTGTTTCTCCTTGATGTGATAACAATGCATTCTCAACAAAATAAAATTTTCAATAGATACCTTGATGTTGTGGAGAGAGGTGCTGATGGCATTCTCCCAGTTGTCAGTGTGAGACTTTTACGTTGGATGAGGAATTGTCTGAGGGAGGAAATGTGTTATTATTGGCTTGCACTTAACTTTTATCCACATAAACATAAACCGTCTCTCTTGAAGTGTTTATAATATACAGCCAAATTACACATCAATTTATACTACACCAAACTGCAAAAGTTCTGTGCACACTTCCTTTTAATTCAAGTTAGCCACATGCAACCATGGAATCGTGACTCAGGAGTGAGTGACGGGATGTGGTGAAGTTGTGAAGGTTTTCTGCTGTTTTAATGGCTCTTTGCTGAGGGGTGAACTATATGGTTTGAAGGATCTTTTAACCATCTGTAAAACAAAGAAGTGAGGATTTTGTAGGGTAGCATTGAGATAGTGAGAGAGTAAGGCTGAGAACTTGAGAACTTCCTACATCATTCTCACCAGGCCCCACCCAACCTTCCCGGCATGTACTTGTGAAAAAATATGGACTGCAAATCTCATAGTTTTTAAATTTGGGAAGTAAATCCCCAGTGATCATTAAGAAGAAAGAGTTATGTAAGTTTTCCTGCAATTTCGAAGACCAGATTCTTACTCTATGGGTTTTTTACTGGGCTTTTCAAAATCTTACAGGATGATGATCTCTAATCTGAAGATTCTAAAATCTGAAATACTATGAAATGTCAAGCTTTTTGACTTTGGAACATGACAACATTCATGGAAAGTGTCACATCTGATCTCATCTGATGGATCATATATAAACATTGCATTATCCCCAGGCTATAAGGTAGGAATGAAGCATACTTGAAATTTTGAGTTCAGAGTGGGCCTCATCTCCAAAATATCTTATAATATGTATGGAGTATTTTAAAATCTGAAAAAATTAAAAATCCCTAACATACCTGTTGCCAAGCATTTTTGATAAAAGACAGTGTACCACCTGTATCAGATGGTATTAGCAACAGGTAAAAAATAATCAATGGATTACTCTAATTTCTATGGCATCTTATTATGTCTCATTAAGAAGTATTTCTCTTTTCCATATATTCTTCAATTAGAATTTAGATGCCACTATTTTTTTAGGTCTTTAAGAACTGAATATTTTTCCTGAAAATTCTTTCCTCATGTCTTCTATTTTAGGTTTTAGAATTGTCAGATTAGAGATGATCAGTCATTTGAGGAGAAATGACATTCAGAACTTTCTTGATTGACTGAAATGACAGTTATTCTTCCATTTAAATAAGGTTTTACTGAGTTTCAGTTGGAACTTCAAGCTGTTGTCCACTTGTAGAGCAGCATGTACTATTACTTTCATGAGCTGGATTTGCTCACTGGCGCTGAGTTGCAGAGTACACGAAGTCTGCTTTCTTCTTTTAAGTATTTTGGCTTGTCATTTATCCAGTGATCTCACCTCTCTGTTTCCTTAGTCAGGGTAATTTCATCAAAGTTTTCTCATGTGGTCAAAATCTGTATTAGCTATTTAGTAGACTGTAAACTTAATTCAGGAATATTTCTCCCACTCTTATATACACACTGTAAGTAAACTGCAAAAACTCTGGGTTTGGTGTCCCAGGTTTCAGCACCAAAATGTTAGTAAATTAATAGCTGAAACTGCAAGGAGACAGTTCAGCCCTAGAGAGCAAGGTATCCCAGATACTCAAGCTATTCAGAACAAGAGCTCTGCCCTGAAGGTGTCCTGGACACCTGAAGCTGTTTAGCACAGCTTTGATGGCTGGGACTGCAAAGAAACAGCCCAACCTTGGAAAGGAATTTTTTCTGACTTCTCGGGAGAGTCAGGCCTGGAACTGCTTCAGCAAGGAAGGGTATCCTGACTCTTTGGAAAAGTCAGGATATACCTGGTGTGATGGGGGATGGTCTCCCTGCAGGACACAGCAATCCTACTCCTCTCCTGGAGAGCCACAATTTCTGGCTCAGTGTTACCAGCTCTCACTCAGTCCACTATGGGACATCTTAGCAAGGTTCTTCTTTTCCGCTCCCCCTTGCTCAGTCCACTATGCCATGTCTCAGCAAGGTTCTTCTGTGCACCAGTGGATGAAGGTCTTCACCAAAACTCTTTTGAGAAAGAGTTTCATTTGGAAAGGAGGAGTCCAGGAGAGTAGCTGCCTCTACCAAGGTGGAGAGAACAGCTCACAACTGACTGGGCAGGGTGGTTTATATAGCATGTCTAGGGGGCAGAGTCAACTGTGATTGGTTAGTTTATTTTCTGCCCAGGGATTGGCCAGTTTTGTGGGCAAGGGGCAGAGATGGCCCTGACTTCAGGGTCAAACTGTGTTTCTTTCACTGGCCTTTCTTGACTTTTTGACACTACCTCTAAGACCAGAACACATTTCTTTCACTGATTGTGATTCTAGTGGCCAGGAGTGTTGTTTCGGTACTAGTTTCAGAGTCAGGGCATATTTCCTGGGTTCTGGGTTTGGGGATAAAGTATTCATTTCTCTGGCTCAGGTCCCAAACACAGGCTGTGTTTCTTTCCCTGGTCCTGTGCCTTAGGGTCAAAATTCTGCTGTCCTGCTCTGTGATTGGTTGGTTTCACAAGTCAGTTGGACAGGGGCAGAGATGATTCTGATCTGAGCTAAACTGTGTTTCTCTCACTGGCCTTACTTTGCTTTTTGACACTACCTCTAAGGCCAGGGCACATTTCATTCACTGACTCTGATTCTAGGGGCCAAGAGTGTTTCTGTGGTACTGGTTTCAGAGTCAGGGCATGTTTCCTTGGTTCATTTCTCTGGCCCAGGTCCCAAACACAAGCTGTGTTTCTTTCCCTGGTCCTGGGCCCTAGGGCCAGGATTCTGCTGTCCTGCTCTGTGATTCTTTGGTTTCACAAGTCAGTTGGACAGGGGCAGAGATGGCTCTGGTCTGACCTAAACTGTGTTTGTCTCACTGGCTTTATCTGAGCTATCTTTCCTGAATTCTGGGCTCCAGGGTTAGGGTGGGTTCCTTTAGCCAGCCCCTTCTCCCTACACACACAAGAAGATGTAACGATTGCACTGCAATGCTTATGGCTAGTAAACTGGGATGATGAATATCATACCATCTGTATATGTACAGGAACAATATCTGTTGTTCTCTACTGTTGCATTTAAATAGATGCTTAATGAAACTGTTAATTATCAAAAAGAAAACTTCACATGGAGACTAAGTAAATGAGGTGATATTTTCAGTTAATGACTGAAGTGCCTTGATCTCTGGTGTCATTATGCTTGTCTTGTTGCTTCAGAGGGCTCTTGAAATACAAGACATGATGTAATGCATAGGTAATCTAATTTAAACATTGCCTTAAGTAGACAGTGTGGAGTCTTATTGTGTTTAATCAAGGGCTAAGTGTGTGAAATATTTTACTGTAGGTGATAGTTTTAAATAAAACAAAATTGATCATTTTTCAGTACAATAAAAATTAAAAGGGAGCTGTGTTTAAGGTAAGGCTATCAAATTGGCTAACCAAAATTTAATGAAGCACATTGTTGTAATTTACTTTAAGCATTACTTCGATGATACTGCCAACATTTCTATTTTACAGAGACATTTGGATTAAATCTTAGGAACATGTTTTTATAATCATTATGGATCATGCACCACATGCCAACTCATATCCCATGGATGTTTCAGAGCCCTTTTAAAAAAAAAATCTATGTAGATGACTTTTAACAAAAAAAAATCTAAAATATTGTAGACACAATGAAAACATTTTTTTTACAAGTGATCAAAACAATTTGAGTTAGCTTTAACAGATGTTCTTTGGTGGAGTCTGGGACTGGGTGATGAATGCCCACTGAAATACTTTGACTTCCATCACTGACTTTCTAATTTCTTAAGAATTGATATTTTTCCTGAAAATTCTTTCCTCGTATCTTCAGTTTTAGAATTTTCAGATTAGAGATGATCACTTGAGAAAATATACTCAGGAAGTTCTGGATTGACTGTTATGACAGTTTTTCTTCTATTTAAATTCAGTGTCACTGAGTTTTGGTTAAAGCTTTTAACTGAAGCCCAATTGCAGGACAGCACGTACTGTTACTATAATGAACTGAATTTGTTCTCTGGGTGCTCAGTTGCAGAGTACATGAAGTCTGCTTTCTCGTTTCAAACATGTCCCACTTCTATCTTTATTTTTCTGTCAAACCATTGCTTACAGTCCTCAGAGAAGATGGTCCAGGGTTGCTCTATAATAGTAAGTTTATATATACACCTCCTAAGATGAGTAGGGAGTTAAAAAAAATAATTTCTGAATCCAGTTTGAAAATTCATTCAGAAAAAACTTTGGTTGATCTAGTGTGGGTCAACTGTGCAGCTAAGAGAAGTCAACTATGATTAAGGGAGATAAGAGCATATGAGTCTGAGCTACCTGGGACTGTGTGAACCATTCCAAAGAAGAGGAACTTATGTACCAGCACAAGAAATGGTCATTACAATCCTGCAAGATAACTACTAAGAATAAACTTAGTTTAATTGTAGTCACATAAAATAGACTAGATACCAGAGAAAACAGCTTTAAGATGTGTAAATTGACCAAGGTATTTTTCCCATTGGAAATCATTTCATTGTAGTACATTGACTAGTTCATTCTATAAGAAGCATCTTGGATTCTTACTTTGCCATTCTCTCATTTGTAAGTTCCTATTTTCTTGATTACAGCTATAGGCCATTTGAGAAACAGAAAGATAAATCTTGTGTTTGGATTATTTATTCTAATTCCCACATGAATAAAGTGATTTTAAATGGCATAAAATAAAGTATACAATGTATAAGATATGGATATGATTTTAAGGATAGGATATCATTTAGAATATGGATATATAAAAAGTGAACTGGAGAAGATCAAGCCCACAATACAAACGGGTAGGTAAAATGGGGCTAAGAGGAATGAAGTATTTTATTCATGCTACAAACTGTTTCCTTGAAGACAGAAACAAGAACCCACACATTTGAATCCTCAATTTATGTTAGCTTCTGGAACTATATATTAAAATCAGACAGATCTGCTGTATGCCTGCCGATGAGGCACTTCTTCCATGTGAAAGCAGCGTGGGGACCTCAAGGATGCTCCAGGCTTATCCTCATGATACATTTAAACTACCATCTCCTGTGCATTTATGATGCAAGAGGTTTCAGATCAGCACTGAAATTAAGATAAATGCCTGCAGTTACATGGAGGCCTTACACACCAGAATTTGGGGTAAACATTCAGACATTTTCAGCTTGTTCACAACTATGGAGTAACAAAGACAAATGAAAGCATCGGGAAAGGAGTTCCTGAAGTGCCCAAAATCTTTACATGAAAAACTTTCAGCAAAAGACTGTTTTATAGATGACTAGCACAGTGAGAAATAACGCTTAAAACTTCCCTTTTCAAGTTAAATTGTTAAAAAGATAAGCCCACTTATTTCCAGGAAGAATAATTATATCATCAGTGTCACTTACCTATCTGCAATTCTTTTTCAGCAATAATTAATTGATGAAAAGAGTGAAAGTTGTGGTATCTTTGCTTATGTTAAAGATGTCATTCCACCCATGTTTTGACTTTAAGCATAAATGATTTGTCCTATTTCTGGTGGTTTTAGTAACACATTAATTCAAAGGGGATTTTATTAATGCATTTTAGTGATTATGATCTTTTTCTATAACTTTAGAGGTGATAAGAAAAGATTTTGTGGGACAGCAAGAAAACCCCATGCAGAATCAGCTTGCTTATACATTTAAACAATGCAAATCATTTGCATAGGAACATTTATATGAACTCATGTATTTATAAGAGGATGCATATTATATGAAATTGGATATTAAAATATCTGGATAATTCTGTCCTATTATATTGCTATTGCTGTATGCCATTATACCAAATGACTTTACTTTCTTAGTTATTATCAATAAAATGCATTTATATGTGAATATATATATATATATACATATATATTCTCTTAAAGCTATGATAAGCATTTAGTTGTATGTATAAACATAAATTCCAATTTATTAGAAGGTACAAACTTACATCCCTTTCTTGAAAATGCTAAATAAACAACTAAATAGTTTATGTCTAACTGTCTTGGTTCTTGCCTTACTGTCTTCTATCTTTGTGGAATCCTGATAACTCACACAGACAATAAATAAAAGAAATAAGTGGATCAGAAGAAACAATTCAGAAACCCCAAATAGGAACTTATTCCCAGAGTCACATGAGTGACATGGTAGTTGTTCCAGGTTATTTTCATTTCCTGCCCGTGTTCCTAACCAGAAATCCAAACAAGCAAAATGTAAGGGTGAAAGCTAAAAAGAGGAGAAAAGGGGAAGAGAAAAAGCACTATTTTTAACTGTGGGGAAGGCCCCTATTTTAAAAGAGAAAGCCAAGAGCTGACTTCCAACTTTTCCGGGTGGTATGTTCTGCTCCTCTCCCTCACCACCCTTAAGATTTACTTGGTGGGATGAATGGCTGCACAACAAGAAATGAGCACCATATGGTGTTTTCAGATTTAGCAGTGAAAAGACAAGGAGGCAACAAGGGAACATGGGGACTGGAGATGGGACTCTGGGTCCACACTGCACAGCTCTGTAGTGCTCATCACTAATCCCCTGTGACTTCTGTACCCTTTGAATTTGTTGTAAACCTGGGCATTGGAGAGTTTGAACTGAATTTATTCTTAAGTTCACCTTTGCTTGTAAATAAGTTGCTTTTTAGATGTGTGTTCACTATGTTCACTTATTCCAATTGTTTTCTGCATGGCATTACTTTATTTTAATATCTTCAAAATAGTTTCAAAAGTATTGCTTCAATCATATCACCCACCTGTAATTCGCTCAAGGATGCAAAAATTCAGTATTTGGAAGAGCAAACTGTAGAGAGGAATGTAGATTTTCAGTGGCCCCTTCTCTTTCTGGTGTCCTTCTTACCCTTTGTGAAGAGTTGTGTTCCAGCTGCAGGCTAGACCATTTCCAAGTCAGCTTGTTTCTCCCTGTAGATCCTGCTCAGGGCCACACTACCTCTTGAAACAGAACAAAGAAGACATACAAACACAACAAAACAGGGCAAGCGAACCTTCCTTGAGAACAATCATTAGTTGGGACATAAATCATGACACGAGAAAAGACAGAGATGGGAGTTCTTTTCGGGAGGTTGCTAAATAAGCTGGAGTTCTGCTCTTCCCAGTCTCAACGAAGCTGTAACATACACTCTTGTGAAAAGATCTCCTCAATGTCTTGGGAGCATAAAGGAGGGAGTGCCTATTTAGTTAATTTTAAATTGTCAGCTTTTTCCCTTCCATTCTTTCAGCAAAATAAACTGTTTTGCAGAATAAGAGGGTTAAGAAAAGGCCCCGAGTCAGTCACTCCGATTTGTTTCCACATTCTGAACAGTCAATAAAGGAATTTATTGCCTCATTAGGCATTTTGAGTAGCTTTCTGGAAACCTGGATGACGTAAGACCAAAAAGTAACCTAGTAAGATGCTTTAAAAGCGGTGGCAGCTGAATTTGTGTTTGAGATTTCAAGTTGCCCATTAGGCTGGGCTGACAAGCTAGTGTTAAGAAATAGTGGTGGGCAGTGAGAGGACTGGATTCAGGTGTAGGAGGGGAATGAGGTGGAAACTCTATTTTTATCAAGTTCTAAAAAAAAAGTGTAAACACTGTTATATAAAAAGTGCTGTAAAGTGATAGAGGACAGAAGATTTGAAGGCATCTCAATAACAAATATTAACAGCCTCTTCTCAGAGAAAGTGCAAACTGGGTCATTAACTGGATGGTAAGCAAGGCACACACCACATACAGCACCTTGACTAACGCCTGCTCCCTTGCACTTTGCTTAGCTGCTATTTGGCCCAAGTGCACATGCTCAGACTTACAGTCAGTGCTCCCGGGACTCCAGGCGTCTGTAAGCATCCTGTCTCCCCTGTGAGATTCAGAGGCTCATTAGAAGTCCAGTGAAGGTAGGTCCCATGCTTATGATCATTCAGTAGAAATGTCTTCACTCTTGGATGATAGAAAATCAAACCAGCAGCTATCAACACATGTCTGTGTTTGTGAATGAAGGAATGTTAACTTTGTTTAAAAAATATGAACAAACATTTTTCCAGGAAAGTAAAAAATGTGAAGAGCAAATGATTTGTTAGTACGTCAAGCATAGTGACGAATTTTGCTTAACCAGCACTTTGGCAGATAAACACATTCATCATGATCAGCCTGTCCTACATTAAAAGAATTGAAGGCATTTTAGGAAGTTTTCCAGATATTAAGACTAGAGGTATTTGTTTCTCATAGTGAATACTGTGTGCATGAGTGTGTGTGTGTGTGTGTGTGTGTGTGTGAGAGAGAGAGAGAGAGAGAGAGAGAGAGAGAGAGAGAGAGAAACAGACAGACAGAGAGACATAGGGAGAGAGAGACAGAGAGACATAGGGAGAGACAGACAGAGAGAGACAGAGAGACAGAGACAGAGACAGAGAAGAGAGGAGAGATTTTTCTATTTAACAGATTTAAGTTTCCATGATTTTTTGAGAAGGAAATTATGAGACATTTACTGCTTTAACTTGAATTCTGTTTATTTTACTCAAAGATAGATTTCTTAACATGGTTTTGTGTTATTACAAGTTTCCAAATTTAGGAGTTCTGTCCCATCCTTAACTCTTTCCCCATTAAAATTTAGGGAACCCAAGTTGAGATTGGAAAGCTGTGTTTTGTACAGGGCTGAGGCAGAGGCATTGGGAGGAAATTTCATTCTACTACAGTGGCTCTCTCTTGATAGTTTTCTTTTGTAAAAAGTGCATTTGGGGTACATTACTTCAAATTGCCCTTGAAGACTATAAGGGCAATAAATAAATCTAAATTTGTGTCATGGGGGAGATAAAAATCTACTTATAACATGAGTGAAGAAATTAAAGTTGCAAAATGATCTGCCTCTGATTAACTTTCTAATTAACATTATAAAAGTTCCAGATCTGAGGTGCAGCCCAATGCCAATGTTTCCTACTTTGTATAGTCTTCTACATATTATTTCTTTCTAAAGGAGTAGAAGGTGTTCTTTTTTAGTAATATTTATTGTCTGTTATGTTCCTTGAGTCTGTCCTTAGTTGTTGCATTGAACAACTATTTAATTATAAGGTAATGAGTGCTGGCAATTAACAAAATTATTTCAGCAGACTGAGAGAAACTACTAGATTTAGGGAGCTCTGAGTGTGCCAGGGATATAGTAGGTACTCAAAAATAGTCAATGATTAAAATGAATGCATTTGAGGGGGGAATTAGATGATTATAAAACATAAAGAATAATGAAATGTGGGCAAAGGTCTAAAAATATTTGCATATTGATGGAGAGGAAATATGAAAAAGCTTTCCTTGGAGAAGTCACAACTATATTTAGAGAGTAGTCAATATTTGAACTAAGTTGGTATTCTAACAACAATGTTAAAAGCACATGTTAATACTGACTTATGTGTGCTGTTGTTCACCATATGCTTTGGGGAGTGGCTGATCACTGGTCACAGGAGTTTAAGAAGCCAGATAGAGCAAATTTCTCAAGAGGTTTTGTACTGTCAAGCTAAGCAGTTTATCTTCCTCTTATGAGGCTCAATGTCATCATATGGTAAATAACGGGAAGCCAGTTATTTACAAAGTAAGAGTGGGATTTCTTTGGGGACCAGCGCCTACCAATCTTTTGATTGAGCTCAGATGGTCCCTGTCCAGCCTTTTTAGAACTTTTCCACCCTTTTCACCCATGTCTTCTCCTAAACCAGGTGGAACCATTCTTTATCTCTAAATACTTCCTACCTGTCACCATTGGTGATGGGGAACTCTGTCACTGACCATGAGGAATAATAACTCTTTGGAAATGATATATCCCTGCAATGGTTTGAAAGAAAATGGCCCTCAGGGGTCCATAGGGAGTGGCACTATTATCTGGTGTGACCTTGTTGGAGTCTGTGTGGCCTTGTTGGAGGAAATATGTCACTGGGGATGGATTGCAGATGCTTAAGCCAGGCCCACTGTCACTCTTTCTTCCTGCTTCCTGCCAATTTGGATGTAGGACTCTCAGCTACCTCTCCAGCACTATGTCTACCTGTGTGCCAGCATGCTTCCCATCCTGATGATAATGGACTAAACCTCTGAACTATAAGCCAGTCCCAATTAAATGTTTCCTTATGAGAGTTGCTGTGGTCGTGGTGTCTCTTCACAGCAACAGAAACTCCAACTAAGGCAATCCTCCCACTGATATTTTAGAGACTCTGATATCATCTGTATCTATAGGTTTGCCCTTGACTCTTCAGCACCCCCTCTCCATCTCAGCATTTTTTTTTAGACTCACAAACATGCAATGTGGACTTAGAGGTTATTCATACCTGAATACAAAGCCACAAAATCATCACTAACTTTACAAATAAAAATTGAAACAGATTGAGACCAGTGTTAGCTGTGGATCCAGATGGTTAAGGTACAATCTTTGGCATTGCCACCAACTGGCCATGATCTTGAGCAAATTCCACTGCAGCTAACTTTGGGAGAGAGTGTCACCACAAAGAGTGCAGGGTATTTTTTTATTATTTTTGAAAATAAATTTTTTTCGTATAATTTATTCTGATTACAGTTCTTTTCCTCCCAACTCTTCCCAGATCTTCCCAGCTTTACTACCCACTCAAACACACACCCTCTCTTTCTCTCTTCTCACAGGAATATAAACAAGCATCTAACAAAATAATAATAATAATAATAATATGATCAAACAAACCAGAATAAGACAAAACAAACAAACAGAAGAAAAAGAGCCAAAGAAAAAAAATCTCAAGAAACAAAAGTAGATGCATAGACACACACATTTGTACACAAATCTAGAAACCACAATATGTATGTAGTGGACTTCTAAGGGTTAATAATAGTAATAGTAATAATAATAATATAATAGACCTGACAGAACATTATGAAATAAATATGTGGTGATATTTTATTTGTGCTTTAATAAGTAAACCTTGCCTGGAAATCAGAGGGAACAGCAAGCCATGGTAAGTAAACAAAGAAGTCAGGAAGTGGTAGAACTCGCCCTTAATCCTATCACTTAGCAGACAGGATCTCTGTATATTCAAGGCCATACTGGGGAACAGAGCCAAGCATGGTAACACATGCCTTTAATCCCAGTACCAACCATAGAAGTCTGGAGGTCTGTGCAGACAGACAGAAAGTGACAGAGCTGTGCAGGAAGAGGAAGTGATGTAGCTGGACAGAGAGCAAATCAGATGGAAGAACAGTAAGGGATATATGAATGGGTAGACAGGAAGTAACTCACATTTGGAAGCTGGCTGGTGGCTTTTCCTATTTCCCTGATCTCTCCAAGGCTTTCACCCCTATATTTGGCTCCATGCTTTTTATTTAATAAGACCGTTTAGAATTTAGTCTACACAAATAACTTACAAATATGTCATTGCGTTTATTTGGTTGGGGCTGTCTATCCATGGACAAACTGTTATTATTAAGCAGAGCAACAAAACCCACCATAAGAGTTTATTAAGGGGAGGGAATAGAGAGCGTATGTATAGGCTTATGGAATGACCATACAGGAAGAGAGGGAAGGAATAGGTGGAACCCACTTTTATAGGTCCTGCCCCCTGCACATGAGCATATGGGCTTACGTAGCTACGCCACACATGTGCATAGATTACATGATCATGTATTACATGGATTATGTAGGGCGTAAGACCCTAGGATGACTAAGTATCTTGCCTGACTACTGGACATGGTCATGTAGCTGGGGGAGTGGCTAGGAATTCTAACTTTAAGAGTGATTTGTATCCCTGGTGAGATTCTGTTGGGAAAAAAGCTAATGTTTTGTTTTCGAGTGATAGTTTCTGATGATAGTTTCTGGGTAAAGGATAGGGGCTTGTGCTTACTTCCTGTCTTGGCACTGGGACCCTATCTGGCTCAGACTTGCATAGGCCTTGAGAGCACATGCTCTTTGCTTTACCGTTTCTATATTTTGACATGTAATAGCTGAACCTAAAGCAATACATTTTCTTATGTTATGAATGATTGTTCAGATCCACTGGACAGCCATGGGTATCTCAAGTTCTTATATCTCAAGAATAAGAAATTGGATAAAGACAGAAGACAGTCATAAAAGGAGACACTTTTTTAAGGTCAAAGGCCTTTCTGACAGTAGAAGTTGACCAGACTGGGAGAAAATGTCCGGGGCTGAAAGGGACCTATGACCAGTGGATGGAGGTCTCTTTAGTTTATTTGTTCATTGCTTTTATTTTATTTTTTATTTATTTTTAATTAAATACAAGTGTTATTCATTAGCATTAGTGCTGGGGTTGGCAATTCTCCTCAACAGCTGTTTTCTTTCATATGCTAATTTGACCCATTCCCTGCTCAGTTATCCTTCCACAATTCCTGCCTGAGATCTGCAGTCCCAGCCTCATGGTTTAAGTAAACAGCAGAAGGTAGATTGGCAGGTTGTAACCAAGAGTCAGCACAAGGCCACTCCATGCAACAGATCTCACTCAGAGGTTTATTGGGAGAGTGGGGGATGCAAAGGCTGCCTCTGATCAAGGGTGGAAAGGGAAGACAGAGGGGAGATGCTGTGGATATCGCTCTATATAAATAAAACACTGATGGCCAGTGACCAGGCAGGAAGTATAGGCGGGACAAGGAGAGGGGAGAATTGGGGAAACAGGAAGAAGGAGGGGGAGACACTGCAGCCACCGCCAGAACAAGCAGCATGTAAAGACGCTGGTAAGCCACCAGCCACGTGGCAAGGTATAGATTTATAGAAATGGGTTAATTTAAGATCTAAGAACAGTGAGCAAGAAGCTTGCCACAGCCATATAGTTTATAAGTAATATAAACGTCTGAGTGATTATTTTATACTTGGATTGTGGGACTGCAGGGCTTGGTGGAACCTGGAGAGTAGCTCTCCAGCAACAAAACTATATTTGTTATAATGCACATATATTTCTACTCTTATTTGAAATATTTGTATATTGATACAAATGTAAATATATATCTGTCATACTTTATGTATGTTCTACTTCTGTTTAGGATATTTGGTATATTGATATATAATTAAGATTATTGTCATACTGCATATCGCACTATATATTCCTACCTCTGTTATAAATATCTTGTGTATTGTCATAATTTTGAAGTCATCGTTCCTTATCATACATTTGCTTATAGACTATTTACCTTGTTTACATGAAGCCTTAGTCCTTAGGTTGTTTTGGTAGATAAGACTTATAGATTTATAGTCATCTATGCTTGTCATCTCTATAGTTATGTTAGTTAAGTTATTCAGATTTACAGATACATAGGTCAGATGGACAGGTAATCTTCAAACACTTCATAGACCTAGAGAATATGGCATTTATATAACTTAGAATTCTGTTGATGTGAGACACAATTGCTCCTGGCAGCACCAATTTGATCCCGAGAGAATGTTGGGCTTCTAGACATTTCCATTTGGAAGTTTGTCTTCTTGGCACACAATGGCCTACTGGGCAAAGAACTGCCCTTGCCTCGACTTGACGGTACGAATGCAATGCTGTCCTTCCTGGACAAGCGGGACACAAAGAAAGCAACCACTGTATTCTGCCAAGACAGGGTAAGATGGTCTTTCAGAATTCCTGCTTCTGAAAATGGTCTGTCAGATACTCTAGGCCTGTGGCCAATTTGAATGCACCAACAATGCTGAGAAACATTAGGTGATGGTCCAGGCTGCCAGCTGTCTCTGTCTACTCTTGCAAGATTCCCAAAAGTTGCTTGCATCCTTCTCCCATTTCTCAGGTAATATTATATCCTTCTGAGGTCTTTGATGTGGTTAAAGACTAGATAGTTGTAATTTCCTTGGTTATGATAAAAGATAAGTTAGATATAAGACCTTAAAATCACAAATATAAGATAGATAGGACATCTTTAATATTGTAACTGTAATTCTTGCTCGATAATTGTTTTGTTATATGTAATTTTAC